TTGTAGTCAGTCACTATGTTTAGTCGTTGAAGTCCGCCACTGCATTCAGTCGTTGTAGTCAGTCACTATGTTCGGTCGTTGAAGTCCGCCAATGCATTCAGTCGTTGTAGTCAGTCACTATGTTCGGTCGTTGAAGTCCGCCACTGCATTCAGTCGTTGTAGTCAGTCACTATGTTCGGTCGTTGAAGTCCGCCACTGCATTCAGTCGTTGTAGTCAGTCACTATGTTCGGTCGTTGAAGTCCGCCACTGCATTCAGTCGTTGTAGTCAGTCACTATGTTCGGTCGTTGAAGTCCGCCACTGCATTCAGTCGTTGTAGTCAGTCACTATGTTCGGTCGTTGAAGTCCGCCACTGCATTCGCTCGTCGAAGTCCGTCAAGCATTCAGTCGTTGTAGTCAGTCACTATATTCTGTCGTTGAAGTCAGTCACTGCATTCTCTCGTTGAAGTCAGTCACTATATTCAGTCGTTATAATCAGTCCCGGTATTAAATGGTTGTAGTCCTTGCTTTTGGCAGATGATGTAGTCAGTAGCTTGAGATAGCTGATGTAGCCAGATGACGTAGTCAATAATTGCTGTGCTGTTATCACTTAATTTGTGCAATTTTTGTAATGTTTGTTTTTACATAAGCAAAAAAGGCAAATTTGCATCTAACTTTCCGAAATTACTACACTAATGTCCACGCCAAAACGTGTGCGTCCGATGTAACGCCTCTCATAGGTCAACGACACTGTATAAGTTGGCAGTGAAAAGGTAGATATACTAACTACCTTTGTCCAAATCATTAACAGCTTGCCGTGGATACCTCCATATCAGTACCATCAATCGTAACGCACTCAGCACTATGGTTAGCGTTATCCCACCTATTAACAGTGAATACGCCGTTAATCCAATACTAAGAGACGGCAACGAACTTACGTAACGTAATAATGACAGAGCCACTGTGGCCACGAAGTAATTGCCACCACGTTACACGGTCAATACAACATGACATCGACAGGGCAACAGCAGTCGCCAGCAGTGCCAAGGAGGCTGATCCTATTACGGTCATGTTTTAAGGGAATTATAAACCTATACCTTCCACGTGGTACTGAACGGATTCACGATGTGTCTTTTGCTGTTAGCAAGTTATTCTGAGATTGCCCTCTCCAGCAGAATGATGTGAGCGAATTGGTGGAGGCTGGTTTACGTCGCCGACAGCATCATCCTCGTACCTATAAGTCACGTCGTAATGGAAAAAATCATGCATGAAGCGGCAGTTACTGGAAGTATTGGCAAGGATGAACAAGATCGGCTCAGCATGGATGCTGGGAATCTTCTCTGGTCTGGAATTCCCACTGGGGCTTAATAAAGGGATTCGACGTGGAAATGACGCTGGTTCATTACTATAGTAATGGTACTGTGCTTTTGGATGAGATTTCTTTTCGAATGTGGTTGAGTCGCCTTTGTTTGGACATAAATTCATGCTTGTCCCTCGTGGTGTCGTGATGGGACATATATGTTATACGTGACGTACAGTGATTGTACATATATGTCCCTAGTGGTCACAGTGATCATGGTACATGTATGTCCCTAGTGGTTACAGTGATGGTACATATATGTCCATAGTGGTTACAGTGATGGTACATATATGTTCCATGTGATGCATTGTGATAGTACATGTGTCCCTATTGACGTTTAGTGATGGTACATATATATTCCACGTGATATATAGTGATTGTACATGTATGTCCCTTGTGGTCACAGTGATGGTACACGTATGTCTCTAGTGGTTACACTAATGGTACTTGCATGTCTCTAGTGGTTGCAGTGATGGTACATGTATGTCTCTAGTGGTTACACTAATGGTACTTGTATGTCTCTAGTGGTTGCAGTGATGGTACATGTATGTCCGAAGTGGTCCCAGTGATGGTACATGTATGCCCCTAGTGGTTACACTAATGGTACTTGTATGCCCCTAGTGGTTACACTAATGATACTTGTATGTCTCTAGTGGTCACAGTGATGGTACATGTATGTCTCTAGGGGTTGAATTAATGGTACTTGTATTCCCTTAGTGGTTACACTAATGGTACACGTATGTCTCTAGTGGTTACACTAATGGTACACGTATGTCTCAAGAGGTCACAGTGATGGTACATGTACATGTATGTCTCTAGTGGTTACACTAATGGTACTTGTATGTCTCTAGTGGTCACAGTGATGATACATGTATGTCCTTAGTGGCCACAGTGATGGTACATGTATGCCCCTAGTGGTCACATTGATGGTACATGTATGTCTCTAGTGGTTACACTAATGGTACTTGTATGTCTCAAGAGGTCACAGTGATGGTACATGTATGTCTCTAGTGGTTACACTCATGGTACTTGTATGTCCCTAGTGGTCACAGTGATGGTACACGTATGTCCTTAGTGGCCACAGTAATGGTACATGTATGTCACTAGTGGTCACAGTGATGGTACATGTATGACCTTAGTGGTCCCAGTGATGGTACATGTATGTCTCTAGTGGTTACACTAATGGTACTTGTATGTCCCTAGTGGTCACAGTGATGGTACATGTATGCCCCTAGTGGTTACACTAATGGTACTTGTATGTCCCTAGTGGTCAGAGTGATGGTACACGCATGTCTCTAGTGGTTACACTAATGGTACTTGTATGTCTCTAGTGGTCACAGTGATGGTACATGTATGTCTCTAGTGGTCAGAGTGATGGTACATGTATGTCTCTAGTGGTTACACTAATGGTACTTGTATGTCTCTAGTGGTCACAGTGATGGTACATGTATGCCCCTAGTGGTCCCAGTGATGGTACATGTATGTCTCTAGTGGTTACACTAATGGTACTTGTATGTCTCTAGTGGTCACAATGATGGTACATGTAGGTCTTTAAGGGTTACACAAATGGTACTTGTATGTCCATAGTGGTCGCAGTGATGGTACATGTATGTCTCTAGTGGTTACAGTGATGGTACACGTATGTCTCTAGTGGTTACACTAATGGTACTTGTATGTCCCTAGTGGTCACAGTGATGGTACATGTATGTCTCTAGTGGTTACACTAATGGTACTTGTACGTCTCTAGTGGTCACAGTGATGGTACATGTATGTCCTTAGTGGCCACAGTGATGGTACATGTATGTCTCTAGTGGTTACACTAATGGTACTTGTATGTCCCTAGTGGTCACAGTGATGGTACATGTATTCCCTAGTGGTCACAGTGATGGTACATTTATGTCTCTAGTGGTTACACTAATGGTACTTGTATGTCTCTAGTGGTTACACTAATGGTACTTGTATGTCCCTAGTGGTCACAGTGATGGTACATGTATTCCCTAGTGGTCACAGTGATGGTACATGTATGTCTCTAGTGGTTACACTAATGGTACTTGTATGTCTCTAGTGGTCACAGTGATGGTACATGTATTCCCTAGTGGTCAGAGTGATGGTACATGTATGTCTCTAGTGGTTACACTAGTGGTACTTGTATGTCTCTAGTGGTCACAGTGATGGTACACGTATGTCTCTAGTGGTTACACTAGTGGTACCTGTATGTCTCTAGTGGTTACAGTGATAGTACATGTACATGTATGTCACTAGTGGTCACAGGGACTGCACATGTATGTCACTAGTGGTCACAGTGATGGTACATGTATGTCCCTAATGGTTACATAAATGGTACTTGTATGTCTCTAGTGGTTACATTACTGGTTCATGTATGTCTCTAGTGGTTACAGTGATGGTACATGTATGTCCCTAGTGATGTTCAGTGACGGTGTATGCATGTCCCTTGTGATTTTTAAGTGACGGTGCATGTTTGTGACAAGTGATGTTTAGTGAAGGTTCATGTATGTCCCTTGTGATGTATAGTGATGGTACATGTATGGCCCTAGTGATGTTTAAGTGACGGTGCATGTATGTCCCTAGTGATGTTTAGTGATGGAACATGTATGGCCCTAGTGATGTTTAGTAACGGTGCATGTACGTCCCTTGTGATGTTTAGTGATGGTACATGTACGTCCTTAGTGATGTTTAGGTGACGGTACGTGTATGTCCATAGTGATGTTTAGTGACGGTACATGTATGTCCCTTGTGATGTATAGTGATGGTACATGTATGGCCCTAGTGATGTTTAGTGATGGTGCATGTATGTCCCTAGTAATGTTAAGTGATGGTCATGGACGCCCCTAGTTATGTTAAGTGAAGGTACACACATGAAACAATGTGACCAACGTCACTAATCTCACAGTCTACCCCATCACAGGAACGGGTAAGAAACTGTTACAGTCTCTTTTATACCACTAATCTCCATAAAACACAAGATGACGCATTTCGGCATTAGTACTTGATACCATGTCTTGATACCCCTTTCGCCATGCTGACAGGCGTCAACTAACATCAGTACAGCTCCCCATCAGCACCAAGCACTTAAAGGGCAACGAGGCTAGCAGTCCTAGCAAATTGGATACATGACCCTCAAACGCCACTATTCCACTTTTGATCGGAAAGTCTTTTATCTCTCCAGGATACACAAAATCGATTCTAATGATATGTCAAGTAATAGTTTTTAGATAGAATGATAGATATTATAATCCCTATCAAAAGTAGAGTAATATATATAAATGTTAGTTATAATAACCCTAATTTTAACAATATTTCAGTTTGACACACGACACTGTCTAGACCTGATGTGTAGACCTAGAAACTCGGCACCAGGCCGTAGAACATAGTGAGTGAGTATGGTTTTACGCCGCATTTTGCAACATTCCAGCAATATCACGGCGGGGGACACCAGAAATGGGCTCCACATATTGTACCCATGTGGGGAATTGAAACCGGGTCTTTGGCGTGACGAGCAAACGCTTTGACCACGAGGCTACCCCACCGCCCCCATAGAACATGGTCGCCCTACCGGTGCACTAGAGGTGTGTCATGATACTCTTAAACCCAGTACTAGGCACTCAACCAACAAATAGGAAAAATTCAGCGGAACTCGGAAATACAAAGATAAGTTCATTTATTTTTCTTAGATTTTATCAGGTGTCTGTAACACGTAACAGGACGTTAAACAGTTGGACTCTGTAGCCTGGAACTTGTTGCAACATTCCATACGTTCAGGAATACATGTTCACTATAATCATGGAACTGCTCTCAACATACACAACTTACAACAATACTCAGTTATATATTCAACAATGGCTCGAGTGAAACTTAATCCGTTATATGAGCCATATTTGGTCTTACGGGAGCAACCATTTCATTTTCGGGAAGGGATGCGAATTTTGGTTTGGGATCAGCATGTTTTTTTATGTTTAGGAGCGTAAATATTTTTTTCGAAAAAGCAGGTGCTATTTTTTTAATACATAAAAATAATGATTCTTTGGACATGTTTGCAAGAAAAGGGCACATTATTTATTTCCTTCAATGAGGCATTATATTTTAGCAAATATACCGCACCCCATCTCCCCAACCACACATCCTTAAAATCAAATGATTGCTCCCAAACGACTACTTGGCAAAACAAAACAACAGAGAGTAGATATATACATAATTTGCATAAAATTTATTCTCTTTCTCCTCGTCCTCATCCATCAAAAAAATAAATAGACCTTATTGTTGTGAAAATATTCAACATAGGAGACAGTTAACCAAAATAGTGAACACAAGTATCAAATAAATAAATAAATTAGCATGAAAACTCCATGGCACACAAAGTCATTTCTGGCTGTTAGGCAGGTAACAATGAATGGGACATGGCGTCACACCAGATAGCCGGGATCTGAAGATTGCATTGAGACCGATGATGGCATATAGTACCGCACTGCGACTTGGCGCCGCCGGCGTTGTCAACAAAATGGACCTCATAAAGAACCGGAAACTAAAAACTCCTCCTTCCTTGCTGCGCATGCGCAGAGCACCTCCTTCCTCTGTGAGCGTTCGCACACCTTGAAGTTGTTCGGTAGAGACCTGTGACACCTCAAAGGTTATTTACACTGGTGGTAGCATCTCTTCCTCGTCGTCCCGGTACGTCTGAAACCAAAACAGATCATAATAACTTAATGTTTATAAAGGGGCGGTTGAGTAGCCGAGAGGATATAACGTTGGCCCGTCACGCCGAAGCCCCGGGTTCGATTCCCCACATGGGTACAATGTGTGAAACCCATTTTCCGGTGTCCCTCTCCGTGATATTGCTGGAATATTGTTAAAAGCGTCGTAAAACCATACTCACTCACTACTTTGTTAACGTGAAAGGGGGAGCGAATATGGCTTCAGCAATATTCCAGCATCGTCACGGCAAGGAACACGGACTTCAGAGATTAGAATCGAACCCCGGTCTGCGTCCTGTAGGGCCAACACTTCCACCAATTGGCTACCCCACTACCAAAATTTATATATATATAGCAATTTCCCAAGAATATGTTTGGACAAAGTGAATTAATATCACTTGATATCTATATTTGGTGATTGCGATTGGGTTACATAAGCCTTTTCCAATCAACCACATAATTAGTGAACTTTTTCTGGACGTTTCCAATATGTATTAACATCAAGCTATAGTGGTCGTTATTTGTTGTGGCCAACACATAGATACTTACAGGATATAAGAACGACTCTGCCGAATCCTCGCCATGTTTGTTAGATGCCGTGCATGTATACACGCCCATATCAAACCAGTTGATGTTCTTAATGATAAGATCTCCATTTTCAGCAATCTGGTGGAATAATAATAATAATAATAATAATAATAATATAAAGTATTATAATAATCATCATCATAACAGTAATCATCATTTATCAAAGGAAGAAAATATTCATTGTGAAACAGTGTCTGTGTTGATACGAATATGAAACCGCCACTTAAATTAAGTCAACTTTCAGCATCTCATACTGTTATATCCGACTCGTTTTATTTAAGTACAAATACCGAAATGGATAAACCTATGTAGTTTTATCTATTTATGAGTATGATTATGTCCTCTGGGAATTGATGAACCCACTGAAAACGTCGAGATACCAACATAACGAAAGACCAGGACCAAAATATGTATATAAATTTCACGTTATAAAACCAGTCAGACTGACAAGCAGTGGCAGAACTTTGACAAAACAAACGTCCCTCTATGAGCAATAACTCGATAGAAACGTCCCTCACGATTAAGACCGAACATTTTGTTCCACGATTGCGACTGTGATGATGTATGTTTGAACTATTTTCTAAACGTTTACAAAACAATCGTCCGCAACTGGGACTCGAACATGTCGTTTAACTATCAGGGTGGGTTGTTTTATTTACTGATAGTGTAGACTCAAGTATATTGGAGTTACGAAAGAATGTGTACCTCGTATTTGTGCCCCGGCTGGACAGGCTCTCCTTCGGCATCATACCACGTAAGTCTTGGTGCTGGAGATCCTGACGCTCTGCAGAATAACTGGACCCTGTTCTCCTCGAACTCTACACGTGTGGCAGTCCACATGTATACCTGGGCTTTTTCACCTAAAATACACAACCATCCGTGTCTTTCATCTATTTATTGGCCCCTGTTTTGTTGTAGTAACAAGATACCGGTAATATTCAAGTACTAAAAACATCATTTACTAAAACTTTATATTATCACTAGCCTCTGTTATTTAAGTCGGTCCATCAATTTACCTTACTCAATAACTGATTTTAAGATGATAACGTTAGTGTAAGTTTTCTCTTTACAACTGTATCAAAGCATTCACTACAACAAGGTTATACACTTACCCTTTATAGATTTCTTTAACAAGCATTCATTAAATGATCCGATAGCACGAGAAACTGGAAAAGAGAAAATGTTTGCTATACTGAAACTGTACAAAAACTGTATAAAACAACATATAGACGTCAGCCGTAACATACTTTGGAATGTTTTGGGTTTTTTATCGCAAAACACAGAACAAAAGCATACAGATAACAAATAACAGTAAGGATAGAGACACAATTGGTGAGTAAGATTACTGATGCTTTAAACAAGTAGGATATCAGTCAGTATTTACAACCTTTTCTGTATGAAATGAATTGAGTTTTGTCAAGGTCATCCTTATCTTGGCCATTCAGGACGTATATCTCCGCTAAAATACTTACTGACTTTAACTGTTGTGGACTGGCTTATTCTGTCGTATGGTGTTTCAGCAACACATGTATATTGTCCCTCAGTTTTAGGGCTAATGCAGTCAATGTGTAACTTTGACCTTGTTGTGGACAGGCGTAACAAGGGGAGACCATCCTTCCCTATCGTATCTTCAAATGAGGCTTCGTCGTCTTGGTAATTTTGGAACATGCCCTGAAAAGATAAAAATATGGATGACATCAAACGTAAAAGATTGTTACGAAGTTACGAAGAGGCATAATCGGTGATGATGTAGCTGGAAGCCCATTGCAACGCAGGTCGTTTTTAGTTTAAGTTATCTCCCTTGATCAAATGTAATGTCAAGGTCAGCTGTGATGGTTGGTTAGAATGGCAATGTGTGTGTGTGTGTGTGTGTGTGTGTGTGTGTGTGTGTGTGTGTGTGTGTGTGTGTGTGGTGTGTGTGTGTGTGGTGTGTGTGTGTGTGTGTGTGGGGGGGGGGGGGGGGGGGGGGGGGGGGCATTTCCATCTAATCCGTTGTAAATCACTGAAACAGAGTTGGCGAAAGTTGAAATCCTAGTTGTTAATTTAGAAAGAATATACAGTCGGCGCCCATTGGGAGAATTAATCCAGTAACAGGATAAAAAACCAAGGGATGCCCCAGGGTCACAAGCACGTTGAGCGGTATAGAAGTTCGGCTCTTTCTCTTAGACTGCAAGGCATTTCCAATTTGTCAACCATCCCCATCGCGATGTATTAAGACCACAGTAATCCATCTGTAGTACCTGTATATGCTGGAGGCTCTCACGGATATTAAACACAAGTCCGTCTATCATGTCTTCGGAGCCTTTCATTTTCGTATCAGATATTGCAACAAATCACTTCTGATGGTTCGCCTACATTTTCCTGAACTAGTAATTATCAGATTTAGGTTCGGAAATGACAATTAAGTGGTACTGTCTTCAGTTTTACTCGCCACAAAACCTTTGATGACATTTTATTAATACGCGTGTCGCCTATATGAACGTGTAATGTTATAACAGGTTACACGTTCATCTTACACAACATCAAATGATTTTGTCAAACTCGTCGCCATCAGTAACGGAATCTGATTATTGAGTTCTCCAACTGAGCTAATGAGTCTTATTCTTTTCTAGCACTGTGCTGTTTATCACAAATGAAAGATTATCAACATATTTGTGTTTTTTTATCAAAGATAACCTTCGCCCTATACGCCACCATGTTGTTACTTTCTAAACGTTTAAATGAAAATGTGTTGCAGTGTATATAAAAACACGGAACTTAATCTAATATAAATACTTTAAAATAACACTAAAAACTAAGTAGTAGACTTTCTCATAATCTTTAAAAACGTTTTTTGCACAATACATTATTTTGTTTCTTATGCTGATTTCATATATACGCTAGAAGTGTCCTTTTTACAGTGTTTTGTGGACATGAAGTCCAGTGACAAGTGCTGAAGCTCACCTGTTCAATTCGTTCCCCATCCTTGAGCCAGTGGATAGAGGGCCCGGGGCTACCTCCAGCTTCGCATTCCAGAACGGTGTCATGGCGTCTTGTCACCCGCGTTGTCGGTCTCAATGGACGGCCCTTGAAAAACAGCTTAGGTCCTGAATCATCAGGTTCTTGCCTTTTGGACACTGGAAATATGAACAGTAAAAAAAATTATATGATAAATCGGGGTACCTCGTCTAGAGTGGGGTTGTTCCTTTGTGGAGTTGCGTCCCTTGGGTACGCAAAAAAACCTATGATTCGAATCATAATTCGAATCCCGTTTCGCCACGATTGTTTCTAGGTTTGTCAGCACCATACCATGCTCGTGCGTTTCACAAAAGTGGTAAACGTCTAAGACCTGCATCGCTTCGGGCTTTCCTCCCATGTCAAGCTGACACGCCGTAATATAAATATAATACTTTCTTTTTAAAGAGGCGTTAAACCCAACGCTCACGCAAATTGAACAATAGAATAGCAATTAGTATAATTTTAATCAACAACATTAAATAGGTCATTAGTTTTTAACCAAAACAAACATTCCCCAATTCCTCATACAAATTCCAAAATGCATCTGACGTTATGATAAAATTACAGTTAAAACATTACTTGTGATACCGATCTCACTGCAGTCCATACGGAGTGAGTTTACGACTGTTAATAGCAAATACAATCAAATTTCAATTAAAAGAACAAAACCAATAAACAATCAAAAACGTACCTGCTGAATTATGTTTTCTATTCAAAAGGCTTTTGTGTTTTAAACTCTGCAACAAAAACAAAAACAGTTGTTAAATTTTCATATTATGTGAGGTAAAAAACATTTTGAACATATACATCATATATCCGATTCAAATATTATATATACTAATTTTGAGCGTTTTGTGTCGGATATGCTTACGTTCAGACAAGAGTCTAAAAGGGTCCTTTCAACGAAACGCGTGGGCGTGAGACACGTGACGTGTAACGGTTCACTTAATCTATGGTGAATCAGCCATCCGGTACATCATAGCCGGGATAAAGCTATCGTCATACGTGACGGCTCGAGGTCGTTTGTTCTTCCTTCTTACATCAGTGTGTGGGAAGCCTTTACAATATATCCGTGTCAGAACATCGTCACAATAGAAACTGATAGTGGCCTACAAAGCATTTAGGTAAAGAACATCTTAATGATGCATCTAAAACATGGATACGCCAAGCCTCTTAACTGTGGTACGATCTATCAACAATACAACGTCCCAATAACGCATACTTAACATCTATTTCTGGTAAGTGTAGTTAATTTTGTAATTCGGTTGAAGAGAAAAAAGAAAAGTACTCATACGTATCTTTAAAGTGTGGCAATAGACGACAAATTCAAATTATCACGGATGGTAATTATCGACCCAGGGACATGGATGACGCATGGGTGTTTGTATGTGACGAACTTCAACTATTATTAGACGCATATATGTGTATGTGAGAGAGCATAGTGTTATAAACATAAACTTCTTGTCTGAGATTGAGTGATACCTACGTGGACGGTGACACAAGCTATGCTTGTCAGACTGAAACCAATAGTAACAACGGGGGCTTAGGGTCACTTAGGATCTTACAATGACATGACTCCGGATCTAATAAAGATTATGCTACATATCCATAATGTTTGCATACCACACAGACAACCATATTACATAAACATTTGGGAAAACATTTTTCTATTCAATACAGTTTATCGTCATGTTTCTCAATAGTTTTCCTAATATGGCGCCCCCTTTACTGTTTCGTCATATGGTTACCATAAAACACATGCAACAATACATTATAATCATTCATATAGGGAATTACTTCGGTTTTGTCAGTTGAATGTTTGACTTGCCTTTGCATGTGTTTGTGACGGGTGCTACCGATGGGGCAGAATACACTCACTTTTCAAGAACATTATCATCAGCCTTTGATATATATTCATAAAAAGGTGCTCATGATATAGTCGGAGTCGTACATTAAACTCTTCTTTTAGCAGAGATTTATTTTGATTATGCAAATGTTTTTGTCGCTTTTCTTCAAATCATTTACTAATTAGGGCTATTTTACATATTTCACCAACACATACAACACTGTAACATAATAATTTGAGGATATACAATCATAAACCAATTTAAGGTCACTCTTTTCAATATTTATTATCATTTTATGCCGTTATCATATTTCTCCAATAACACATTTAACGTGTATATGGTATATGTGGTAATGCATATACCCATGTTCTACAGGTTTTCAAGGAACACATTTGAATTTTTATTATTTTAGGCAGAATATGGGCATTTAGGGACTATTTCCAGAAACTTGATTTACTGTTATACATATTTCACTATTGTCCCTTTAACGGTTTTAAGGCACCCCAATTTTCGATGACGACAGATATGAGGAAACCTTCGGAGAAAATCAGACTTCCTGGCTTGGATGAAATATTATATTCAAGTGCAAGCTGCCCCCAGACGGAGCGGAATTCGGTTAGTCGCACATGCCTCGGCCCTCCACGACCCCCACATCCGTGCATTCCGAGGCTACGCTCAAACACCACGCTGCCTGCTAACGATAACACATAATTTGCATGTATCCCATTCATTGCCGCACTGAGTGTGCTATTGACAACATTCAACAAGGGGTAAATGATCTATGCGCGTCTAATAACATGACGTCATAATCAACTTGTGCGCATACCTATCGGGCCAGTGGGCCGGGTCGGGACGAGAGTTCAGTGGGCCACATTTAGACGGCTTGCTTGGGTTTAGTCGCACCTGTGGAACTGCGCTGTTGGGAGAGCGGGCCGGGAAGTGTTATGGTTATTCTCCTCCCGCTCAACTACCAACAAGTGTCCCGCGCGATACGCCTGCAGTGATAGCTTAGTTTTCACGAGGGCTCCCACAGAACTACTAGACAATTAAAAACCGCTTTTGACGGAATTAAATTCCCTCGCACGTGAGTTTAATATTCCTGTGTATCTTTTCTTGCATTTTCAGTTTCATATTTTAATTACATATTTGAAGTTATATGGTACGATACAATACAAAATTAAACCATGGTACATTGAGACTTATTGCATAAATGTTAAATATTCATTGTTAAAAAGACATTAAATTTTATGGATAATATTTATCAGATCAATTTAGGTTCAGAAGAGAGGCAATAAAATGACATTTATGTTACCTGAAGCATTAAAAAATATTAAAACACAAAGTATGTTTATAAGGTGCTTTACAACTACCAATCCGAATAACCGATTTTGTGAAGAGCATAGGATTCTGTCAAAGCCAATTCTGAGAGCAAATATGTCCAATAAATGTCAGTAATGAGGATCTTATCCGAGGGAAGAGGTCAGAATGTGAATCCATAGCCTAGTAGTTATTACAACAATGATGAAACGACTTCATGGTTATATGGGATACAAAAGTTATACATACTTTTGTGAAAATCTGATTAAGTTGCAATTTTCAATCATATCTGGATTATTCCAGTCGGCGGTAGTTTAGACTCGCGATGTGACCTTTTCGGGGTCAAGCACAGTCACGTGGTATTTCGAGGGGGGGGGGGGGGGGGGGGGTGCACTGCGGGGAAGTCCCTCATTTAAGCCACTGATAAGCCACGTCAGAAGGCTGATGCAATCTATATATGTCCCAGTACTCATACCATGCTATATAACATGTTGCCAGATTCGGCGGAATAAACAAAACAATAGAATTTTTCCTTCTTGTTCCCACTACCGTCATTGCTATAATTAAACTTTAGTCAGCGGACGCTCTCTCCCTGTATATATACAATGCCTGTTCTTGTTTTCGACTGTTAACTAATATACATATTTTATAGTCTCCAGGATAATATCTATGAACATTTTTAAGCATTATGAGGCAAATAGTAGTTAAACCTGTTTTATTCACTTATGGTCTGTTAGTGCACGTTTTAATATGTCTGTCGTCCTCATGCTGTATACATTCTAGAGTGTTCTAGTGAAGTGCTGAGGGGATGTTTCGATCTGCCCAGTTGGTAGTGCCCCGTACAGGGAAAAGACAGTGATCATAGCAATATATTTGAAATTTTCTTCCTCGAAGTTAGTTGAATGCATAGAAATTTGTAAAAAATCGATATTACTTGTCTAAAACTCACCTTAAGAAATGCGGACGATACACAAGAGAACAACGCAACGGACACTGCTAACATCAACAACCGCTTTAAACTGGTCATTTTCTTTTTATAACTGTTCAATCTGTAAAACATAAAATTTACTTTGACTATTTTACCCAACATACATTTTTTTCTAGTATATATCAATGTGTCTTCTAATTTTGAAAATATGGAATATTAATGTATATAAAGACGTGTCTGTATCTTAATAAATGTAGCCATTAATGTATACAAAATTTGAATGAAACACAAAAATCAAACATTTCATGGAAGCATGTAGAATGAGAAAATAAATCAACCAACACGAAAATGTTTGGTATTGATCTATAAGTCGATAATTACTTCGCCCTATGTATTGATAGACAGGATCGAATAGTAAAAGCATCACCACGTGTTCAACTTACCTTGAGCGTTATCAACTTAGTCCGAGAACAAGTCACCAATGTTTTGTTTAGGCACTGCGGTATCTCACGATCAGTCCTTTCCTGATTCCGTCGGCTTCGCTTTTCTATATTGATTCTCACCGCCAATGGTCGGCGATTTATAGGCGATCTTGATGACGTCACGCTGTCCCCGCCTCCTCGAGCGAAGTATGAATGAAATAAGTGACCAATGGAAATCAGCGCGCGTACCGTGTGTGTACTCGAGCGTACAGCCGTCCTCTCCTCTGCAGTGATAGCCGAGCGGCGTTCAGTATGTATGTCTCGCTTTTCTCCGTCCACCACTTGTCTATCGCCTGTCTTCAGCCATTTAGTGGAGTTTGTGATGTCCAATCAGGCAAGAATTACTGGATCCGTTTGTATTTATTGAATAGTCTTCCATGTATTACATCAACACACTGTCCTAGTACAACACATGTCACACGCAGATACAACGCCATGTACACGCGGACTGTGATTACACATGGGTATAAACACTGTCGGGCTACACACGGCTGATAGCTGACATTAACTGTGTAGCCGATATATTGACATTTATACCTCACGGGAGACTTCCACACTCAAATGTATTTCACAAGACAACGATAGGTGATGCCTAAGTATGTGTTTAGTTTTCCTTCGTCGCCTAATCCAAATAAAACACATATTCAATCCGTTGAATATAAAGTAAACTACGTTTATAACGAACACGCTTATAACGAACTGACAGATATGACGAACTTATTTTTTAGTCCCGACCATTTGTTGTATAAATCACGGACTTGTATAGGTCCGTGTATAAATGCAGTATATAGGCTTATAACGAACTACGGATATTACGAACTAAATTTGTTGGTGCCCTCGAGTTCGCTAAAACCGTAGTTTACTGTACTTATAGATGGACTGTACATCGTATTTATATTGTTTAATTTATTTGTTGTGTGAGTAGATTATAAACGCCACCTATTCGTATGCATTGTTGAAGACACGGGGATGTATAGATCAAGGACATCATATATGAACATGTCTAGTTTGATGACAATGTAGATTTGAATGACAGAGGACTGTAATATGAATTCAATGTTCAAATATAAGCATTCAGAATATTAATGAAAAGGTAAGCACAGGGATAGTAACTATGCACGGTTCTGGATTAATAAGGTTTTTTGAATGACGTTCCCGGAGAAATATTGTCTAGATTAATGGTTGGTGAAGAGCTACACCGCCCAGAATAACATTCCCAGATTAACAGGGTTTCGTAGTAATGGTCAAATTAACAAGATCCTTATTAACGAGGTTTTCATAGTTCACACTGATGACGTATTGTTGACAATAAGGTTTCCTTGGCAAAAACTATTTTCATAAGTTTCCATGGTAGCATACAAGCTGAGGTTGATGACGACACCAAGGTGGTCTTCTTAAGGAGCCCATACCGATGACATTCACACAGTGAAATATCACAACATATTACCAAGGAATTACGTATCTGTAGTTGAAAGGTCCAGAAAATTATTTTTGCCAAATGATTAAGTGTCCATGCTGATGTCGTTACGCCATTAACAAGGCCTAGAATATTGCCTTTTTAGACACATATTCTAGATTAATGGCAAATGTTTTTAGCAAGGTCCAGATGAGACCAAACCCGTTTCCTTGGTAGCCAGGACCAGACAAGTGAGATTATTTTAGTGACCATTTTCAGGCCAATGATAAAGTCTACATTTTTATTGAAGCAACCTTCACCTCACCAAGGCCCAAATAATAATTCATTTCCCTAGGGCACCAGGTCAGTACCAATAAGATGTTCATGGAGACAATATCTAGACTAATTTTATGTCTGTGGTGACAATGTCACTTCTAATGAAATGGCCAGTCTTAAATGTCCTTAGTAACACTGTCTGGACTATTGAAATGCCCTCAGTATCACTGTCCGGACTATTGAAATGTCATTGGTAACAATATCCGGTCTAATGACATGCCCTTAGTAACACTTTCTGGACATTTGAAATGTTCTTAGTAACACTGACTTGACATTTGAAATGTTCTTAGTAACACTGTCTGAACTATTGAAATGCCCTCAGTAACACTGTCCGGACTTTTGTTCGCCGCAGGGCAAATTCCAGCTATATGACAGCGGTCTGTAAATAATCGAGTCTAGGACAGACAATCCAGTGCTTGACATCATGAGCATCGATCCACGCAATTGGAATACCATGACATGCATCAATCATGTCATCAGGTCTGACCACCTTATCCCGTCAATCGCCTCTAACAACAAGCATAGTCGCCAGACTATTGAAATGCTCTAGTAACACTATCCGGGCTATTGAAATGCCATTGGTAACACTATCCGGGCTATTGAAATGCCATAGTAACACCTTCGGTATAGTGAAATATCCTTAGTAACACTGGCTGACTATTGAAATGATCTAGTAACACTATCCGGACTATTGGAATGTCCTGAATAACACTGGACAGTATATTGAAATGCCATCGATACCAATGTCCGAACTATATATAATTGGACATGGTAACACCGTCTATGACACTATTAAGTGCTTGATTATGACTTATGCAATGACCTTGGTAACAACATCCCACATTGGTAAGTCACTGGTAGCCATGTCCAGGCATCCGCGGCAGTGTTGTTTGTACAAACTAAATATGTATGCAGCCAAGCCTCTCATTAATTCAGATTATTGTGTTTCTGGTAAATAACGAGACAGACTACAAGAGTTAGAAGACGCTGATGAGAGATCCCAGCCTCTGGGGACAGAATGTCATCTGCTGACCTGGTATAATCATAGCCCACAGTGACCAAACAATGGTTCAAAATAGCTGCAATCTACCACTAGGATTCGGTCTGAAATCACTGGCGGAAATAAAGATTTAATAGAATGATTGTTGAGAGCAATTTCCAGAACCAATCTCAACTATAGGTTTTATCGATCTCGCCACCAACGCTTGTGATCGACAAAAGGGTCGTAATGTATTGGGACACATAGTAGCTGTAGTACGCCAGCTAATGGGAAAATGGGAATCACTCATTGCAGACGATTATCCGCAATCAACAACATATAATTATTGATATGATTAATGACTAATTTGCCACAGACTAGCCAAAATGGAAATGTCAAATCCTCCAATGCTTAAACTGTATTCACTTCACGCGTGTTCAGTCTCATAAAAGCGACAAACCCCAGTTGAAACATTAGTGATTCCTGGAGGACAGAACATTACACCTCAATATACTAAAATCATTAGTGTAATGTCCTACAACGTATATGGCACGTTGTTCCTTGACTGACAGCGTGGCCTTTGGCCCGACAGACAGACAGACAGACAACCATACGGACCATAAAAAACTGTCAGTTTGGCATACATGCGGGATGGGTGTTTTATATAACCGTCCATCAGACAGGGGTTAGTGAATAAACCAGCTCCACGCCGCTTTTAACAACATTTCAGCTAAACTATGATATGTCAGTTTTATGTGGAGGTAAGCAAAGAAATGACGCAAGCCCACGTTAAATGGGGACATTAAATGTGAGTGAGTGAATTTCCTTCCCGACATACAAACGAGCCAATTGAAATTAGATGTGTATTTTGACATCACTGTATATCCACGTCGCTATGTCAGTGCAATTATGTTGAAGGAGACGTTAATCCCATTTCACCTCGACCCGAGTACTTTTTATCTTACTCGGACAATTAAATGGGACTTACTTTGAATAAAACTAACAAAACCCTTTTCATAATCATTAAAAATCACAAGACTTCACACGGTCATGATCTAGGTACATGTCTACCGTTGACGTGAGACAACGCGCGTTGTCCCAGGCTCTGTGTGGTTTTATGTTCTTTTCCTCTGTGTCATTTGACTGAGCTGCTCTTGTGTGAATGACAATGTCAAATTACTACGTTGCCACATAGCACACATACATGACAAGCAGAAATGAAGAATGAAGAAATAGGTTATTGTCCTGTCAGAGTAAATATACTGAACAACCTTGAACTCATTCCAGTACAACGTATACGACTCAAAATAAGTTCAAGAACACCGGATTATTTCATGGCATGACATATTGAATATAGTACCAAGAAATATTTGGGTGTCCTTTAACTTCGTATATATGTGTTATCACAGTGTGTTACGTGTGTACGCTTGTGTATGAGACACAATTGGGGTGGTACATGAAATTAAAATTTAAATGAAACAATAAGAGTATGATGCCAGTTTTGACTTGCCATTATCGATCTTTATCCCTACAGGAAAGATTTAATGTTGACACATATTTCATAAATTCTCAAACATATAACCATTTAATTTATCTTAATCATTTTTTTCATTGTGTGTTTATAGTCATATTTATATGTACAAAATGAATTTGTCTGATTGGGATCGAAAAGTATTACCACATTAATATGTACCAGTCAATCTTCACTTAGCACTTCAAAGATATTTTCAACACACACGAGAGGGAATGAGTGCACATGAGTATAGTTTTACGCCGCTTTTAGCAATATTCCAGCAATATCACGGCGGGGGACACCAGATATGGGCTTCACACATTGTACCCATGTCGGGAATCGAACCCGGGTCTTCGGCGTGACGAGCGGACGCTTTAAGCACTAGGCTACCCGACCGCCCTTTCAGAACACACGAGACATAGCTTATACTGAATCAACACAAATATGATATTTAGGTATTTAGGTTAGTCAGACTGAAAGAACGTACGAGTGAGTGAGTGAGTATGGATTTCAGGGACATCAGAAATTAGCTTCACATCGACCCATGTGGGGGGCACGGGTGGCCCAGTCGTCTAAGTCGCCGATTCGCTGTGCAGAGTTGCGTCCCTTGGGCACGTCAGAAACCTATGATTGTGGGTTCGAATCCCGGTTCGCCCCGATTATGTTCCTAGGTTTGTCAGCACAATACCCGTGCTCGTGGGTTTCACCGAAGTGGTAAACGTCTGAGACCTGCATCACTTCGGGCTTTCCTTCCACATTAAGCTGACACGCCGCGATATAACTGGAATACTGTTAAAAGCGGCGTTAAACCCAACTCACTCACTCGACCCATGTGAGGAACTGAACCCGGGTCTTTGGACGAAAATCTAGGCTGACCTAGCTCTCCATCATAAGAGCTTATGAGCATATAACACTTACACATGTACATTATTTTACATGTTTGTAAAATTCTAACCATGTTTTGCTACATAGCAACGATTAAAACTTCTTTCATATTATAGCAGTACTTCATTTTCTTATTGCTTATGACACTACATGTAAACCAACAGGTTATTAATATTCAAATCGTTTCCATACGAATAGTTAAACCCATGCACTCACAATACCACAAAAAACATCACATACTGTAACATACTCTAAGTAATCTCACATTAGTTTTCATCTAA